TAATTATTAGAGGATCAGCATGAGGGTGAGCGAAGTAGCTAGCATCATCCACATTGAATGTTATCGGACAATTATTTCGAGCATTAATTTTATCTCGGAGGTCGGTAGTCAAAACAGTTTTACCCGAGTTAAAAGCCTTTCGAGCATACGCCTTCATTTTCCGCCGTGATTCAAACGTTACATTGCTACTGTTATTAACCCGAGAAACATGATGAGAATTATCAGGATTATAATATCCTCCTCTGTACGTCATTTCAGCATCCTTCATCAAATCACTTTCTTGATCTATCATATATATCTCTTTATCATTTGACCTTACTCATTTTGGATTAATTGGGTGTCCCTCATCGTCGTCATCATCTGGTAAATCCGACATTCTTTCTTTTCGTTTGTAATCAGCATTTTTAGCAAACCTTTGGACTTGAGGATGTCCAATAAGTCGCAATAAGGCGGAAAGTAAACCAAGGCATTCATCAGTATTATGGCCTGCCGACTTATGGTATGAACAATATCTCATTTTATCAAGTCTTTCTTCAGGAGTTCTGACAGGTCGAGGATCAGGAAGAATTCCTTTCCCTTTTAGTTCTTCAAATATAGTTGCTGCCCCTGCCGAGAATACCGTCTGATAGCTAGATTTGACTTCATTAAGATATTTAGTTCTGGCTTCTTGCACTTCAGGCATCTTTGGATTCCCAAATCAAGACTTATTTGGTTTGAAGAATTTACTTTTCTTCTTTTTTGACTCTTGCCCGACTTCCGACTTCAGCGAGGAAAAGTCGATATTAGGAACCGACATTGATTCTTCGGCTAAAATATGCTGTTGAGCCCGAGTTAGGAAATCTTGAAACGAGGTCGGTTTATTCTGACATATACTCCATCGAAACAACGAATTTGGCTTCAATCCGGCTATGGCTGTGACCAATAGTGTTTCAGGATGACATTGCTCCATATTTTGTATGCGTTCGTTGAACCGAGTAATATAATCTTTTACACTTTCATCATCTTTTTGCACAATATTCGCGATTGATTCTTTAGGGATTAAAGAAACTCGGGCCCCAATAAAATGAGACCGAAAAGCCGTTCTCAATTGCTGCCATGTGGAAATTGAGTACCGAGATAGAGAATGATACCATTTTTGAGCTCGAGGTCCCAAAGTTAAGGAAAACATCCGACATCTGAGTGCTTCATTTGCTCCATGAAGATCCATCCAAGACGTGTACTGACCAAGATGAGCATCAGGATCGGAAGTTCCATCATATAAGCCGATTTGTGGAACTTTTACTTTAGTTGGAATAGGCTCCCTAGTCAAATGAGGGGCCAAAGGAGTTCCAACTTCTTGATTCATCTCTTCTGTCATTGGGATTCGTTGTGGTGATTCTCCTTGTTCGTCTCGGCGAGTTTCTAATTCAGCAATTCTTTTTCTCAACATTTCTAGCTCTTCTGATTCGCGTCTTAGACGATTTCTTTCGATTAAACGACGTAACTCATTTTGCCCACGACGAGTATGGTTCTGTTCAAGAGTATGTCGTAAGTCAGAAGGTTGATCATGTCGTAAGATTTCGGGCAACGACGGAGTAGGCTGTCGTGGTCGATGCCCAGAATGGCTTTCTGCAGTTGCTTCTGATCGAACTGCTTCAGGAATATGTGTTTGTACAGGAATTACTCCACGATTTTGAGTTGCAATATCATGTTGTGATGTATGTGTACGTGGATGGGAAGTTGCATGTGATGTAGCAGGAATTTCATTCCTTTGCGAAACTGGTGCAGGTCGGGTTTGAAGATTAACCGCTGCAGTTGGTTCTATTCTTGTTCGTGCCATAAAATCAGTTAAATTTTTCAAGAACTCTGGATCTTGGAACAAGGTTGAATAATCAATCGATGTAGATGGCACGGTTGAATTTCCAGTTGTGTGAGTTGGGTGACGATTAACTCCAGCATCTGGATTACGTTCGTTTCGCCCAGAATTCGACATCCTTGTATTATATTGTTTACAAGACAAACAATCGAAAGCGGCCCTCCTTCTAGCGCCAAACTGTTGTTGTCTTGAATTAACAACTTAAAATTAAACACAGCAGGTGTAAAGACAACTAGGATAATTGTTCAATTTGATTTTATTTGTTATAATCACAAGAGAACAGAAGTCGGTTTTAGACTGAAAACCGAGATCGTCTTAGTTCGTGTACAATGTGTTCGAAAAAGATCCTCGTACTATTATAAATTCTACTATTTATAGTACGGTGGCTTTTGTCTTCTTCCTTGAAATGGATAAAGATGCATTTAATGTTGAGCTGCTTCACTTGAAGCGGCGGGAAACATCAATGATTGCCTTTTTGTTTTGTTGGTCCAATCAGATGCTTCTAATGATTACTTTCTGTTGGAATATTCAAACTTTGTAGTAGTCGGTCGACATAGAAGAACTTGTTTTCGTCGTAATATTTGTTGAACTGAAGTCGGTGTACTCGTATTAGCTTCAAATATCGGTTCTTTTGGAAATTCTCGGAAGTCGGTAATTCTTCATAAGTCGGTAATTAATTCTAAATAATACCGACTTACTTGTGAGCTTCTTCTTGGGAGGTTATTTCTTCAATAATGATTAATCTGTCTTTAATCTCGGCAATCAAGTCGGATATCAACACTCCTATAAGGGTAACGGTCCGGAAGACCGAGAACCGGGCGAGGCCGGCCCGGTTAGTGAGGCCGGGTACCGTGACAATTGAAAAGTGACGATCTGAGAAATGGTCAAAATCGATTGGAGTGTCGGACGACACCACACCCCGAGGTCGGCACCTTGCCACACCCGTCATAGGGCTGACCGACTTAGGGTGTGGGGTCTGGGAAACCGAGGGATGGACGCTGCTATAGCCCGGCTCGAGACCCTATCGGCTCGACCCTCGTTGGGGTTAAGGATCCAGAAAACAATTAAATAAGGCCACTTGTCAACGAATGATTGCCGATGGGACACCCCAGACTAGTCTGCAGGACTAGGACGTCTAGCTCGGCCAAGGAGCATGCCCGCATTAAATGCAGCTCACACCCGCATTAAATGCGTGGCAGGTAATGATTGGGAAACCCCGAAATCGCTCCCAATCAGTCAGAGAAACGCCGGCTCGTCCTGCCAAACTACTGTACGGCAAGATCAGCGAACAGTACCTGAACAGTGCCGTATTAAAGACCTCTATAAATAACAACCCCCTCATTTATTTTGGGGTTGTTGAATCCCAACTGTCAAAACTCTCTCTACATTTTCTATCTCTAGACTTGTAAGGAATTCGTGTAAGAATCTGTAAGTATATCGCAAGTGTCGACCTCGTACGAGAGGCCGACCTCGTGATCTTTTAATAAAATCATAATTAAATCATATTTCTTTGTCTTTTCCCCATTACCATTTCATTACTCAACTTTTTAGCCGTTGACCGGAAACGCCCGTCAACAATAACCACTGATAGAGAATATAATACCGACTCGACCTAATCGGGTAAAGATCCGTGAGATGGAGGCCAAGCAAGCCTAATGGCCTACTCAGCCATTAGGTTTTACCTAATGGTCTAATGGTCTACTGGTCTACTTGTCTAATGGTCGAGCATAGATCGAGGGTTGATCGGGCGACGACCCAAGCAACGAGATGACTTTACCGGTCGAGCATAGACCGGAGGTCGAATGGAGCATCGACCCACTCAAAGGGTCGAACTTAGACCCGGAGGTCGACCCATATGTCCTGGCATCGAGCCAGAAGATAACCCGTACAATTAAACGCTATATATATATGTTAAATGTCGCATGTATTGGGCATCATCTCATTATTACTTTCACTATCACATTTTACTGCTCCGAACTCTCTCTATTCAGCGATAATGACTTGGGCGTCGGAGGGTTTTGCGCCGGAGTAATTTCGGCGCTTTGCAGGTACCGGCGAATTCAAAGTGCATGGACTGGACCACACTCACCGACCTACCATTCAAATCGAAGAAGACCTGGCGAGAAACCAGAGTCATTCGTCTTGGACCTTATCAACCACACTAATGTATTAATCAAATGATAAAAAAGTCGATAATTTTTGTCTTCGGGACAGTTTTCAACTGAACGCTCATACTTAATATGATAATTTCATACGACATTATTAAATGACTATATTAAGTTTGGTCATCGTCGGTAGGTAAAGGAAGCTATCAATATAGTTGGGAAAAAAGTAATAAAGAAAAGCATTGAGAAAATGACCTTGTATATTGTTTGATCTCATCGACCATTTTAACTCCTTTTTGTAAAGATCCACGTTTTACGTGTGACCAAAAATATATATCTTGAATCATTAGATTTCAGTTAATTTTACTTTATTATTTTGTAACTAAACGATTTCCCAACAGCATGATTCTAAACTTGTTATCCAACATGAAATATTCCTACTTAGATCAGTGAGGCTAAAGCCTGAAAGCCTCAAAGCTTAACAGCATACACACATTAAAATGTTCCTTTTTTTTTCTCTGAAAATTTTCACAAATCAATTTTATATATGCATCATAGAAGAACTAATTGACTGTTAACGTAGTTTGTTTCACATTTTGATACATGGTTTTGGACTTACAATAGAAAATTTCATCCTCCGATATCGAGTTTTTTATTATTATTATTATTATTCTTGTTGTTGTTGTATATATATCGCATGGTATTGTTTATAGCTCTGTGCGTAGATACAGATTTTCAACTTTTAATTTACGAGGAAATAAAATTAAATGAAGTTTACACTTAAAATTATACTTATCAATTATCATCACATTAATAGACATTATATACACCTTAGTCCATGCTTATGCGTTTTTATAAGTTTACAACTGATGTATACTTTCATAATCAAACATCATATTTAATTTAAACTACAATATAAGTACAAATATAATATTTTGATATTTAAACTGCAATATAAATAAAAATATAACATTCTATAATATAAAATATACAAATTTGATGAGAATGTATGATTAATTAACGCGGTTTTGGACTTGCAGGATATAACACGGTAAAATGTTCTGGATTTACACTTAAAAGTGATATTTATCATCACATAACATAGACAACCCAATCCATGCTTATGCATTTTCGTAAATTTACACTAGAGATTTTTTTTTTTTTTTTATTATATATAATTTTAAGTGAATATACTTTGGGCATAACATTTAACTTGTGGAAACGTAAAATTAATACTAACGCTAACAAGTTGAAAGGGGAAAAATCAGATTTATTTATTTTATTTTTTGACAAAAGGACACGTCAGACCTTTAAATGTCCTTGTCTTTGACCGGGTCCATCTTCTCCGCCACCAACCCTCCGCCGGCACCGCCGCCGTTCATTTTCCGGCGGTGCACCCTAACATAGAAATTCAAAAACAGGAGACAAATCGCGGCGTTGAGAACCGAATTGAAAACCCAGGCACCGATCCCATTGCACCCGCCCTTGACGAGGTGCAGGAGGAGCACGCCGACGTGGCACACCAGATTGCACCCCAGCAGCGCCATCTGGCAGCTGACGACGAACGGGAAGCAGGCGGCGGGAAGTCCGACCGCCGTCCAGAACCGATAGCCGTCGACGGCGGCGCAGGCGAGCGTCGTGAGTAGGATGGCGACGACCTGGAACGACTGGGAGAACTCGAGCCAGAGGAAGGCGGTGACGATCGCGGCGGCGTGGGCGAGGAGGTCGGCGAGGGGCAGTCTCCGGCGGCGGGCGGCGGCGATGAGGGGGCGGAGGGCGTGCGGGAACCGGGAGAGGTAGAAGGCGTAGGACCAGAAGAAGACGCGGCCGGAGGGGCGGGTGCCGAGGGGGAAGCAGAGGAGCCACTGGAGGGGGGTGGTGCGGCAGCGGCGGAGGAGCCACCGCGTGTCGCGGATCTCGGCGGCGGCGGAGAGGGCGGTGCCGGCGAATATTGTGGCGGAGGAGAGGGACATGAGGAGGGAGTGGGCGGCGGGGAGGAAGCCGAGGGGGAAGGTGAGGCGGAGGAGGAGGAGGAGGCGGAGGGCGGCGGCGGAGGCAAGGTAGAAGGAGAGGGAGGCGAGGAGGAAGGACCAGGTGGAGCCCCACCACTCGTGGCTCCACCGGAAGCCCACGACGGAGGGGTGCTCCGATAGGTAGTAGGAAAGGGTGCCGAGCGGCGTCGCCGTCGTCATCGGATTTCGCCGGAAAATCGGCGGTGGGACTCGCAATTTTTACTCTTTCTCTGTGCGGAAAAAATAAAATTGGGATTGTAATTGACGGAGGAGAGTGTAAGGAGGGGAATTGAATTATCCTCAGCCTTATGAAATTAATTGGCAATCTATATTTTTATTTCAAATTTGTTTTCTAAAGAAGTGGGGATTAGGAGTGCGGATAAATCGGAGGCGATTTGAGATTTTGGAAGGCGGTCGGAGATTTATATGTGGGGAAGAGTAGACAAAGACCGGCAAATAAGAAAAAAAACTAGTTTTACCTACTATATAATGTAATTAAAAATATAAAATAAAATAAAAATCATACAGAAAGAATAATTTGAAAAAACGAATCTAAATATTATTAAATACTTCTTTATATACAATATTCGTGGTTTCTTTATTGTCAGAATTTACATCACAACAAATCATTATCGTCAAATCTCTTTGACTCGGGACTCTGAAATTTGATTTTTTAAAATATTTTATGTATCTTTGTAATATTCGAAAATATTTTTTTATTATTGTATGACTCCAATAAAAAATAGAGATATTCGTAGTCATTCTTAATTAGTTGTGAAATAAAAATAAAAATAAAAATATCTAATATCAATATAAAAATATATAGTATCAATACCAAAAATATATAGTATCAATATAAAAATTAAAATATTACGTATTTAGGACATAAAAAGGTGTTACATAAATTGACACCATCCAAAATAGCACCTGTCAAAATAAATTGTGTAACTGAAAGTTACATATTTCTATTAAATGGTGAACATATTTTTATTCAATGAACACCTATTTTTATTAAATGAACTCATATTATTATTAATTGCTGGCAAAATTTAATAAAGTTTGTCAGCAATTATATATATATATATATATATGAAATATTTTTTATTTTAATTATAATTGAAAAACTAAAAATTATTTGGTAATAAAAAATAAATTGGTAAGTTTTTCTTATACTGTCG